TCAGAAAGCAAGGGGACTAGGTGACTAGGATAGAACCACAGATCTGGGTGACTGCCAAAGAACAATGCAGTAGAACATTGAAGCTAGAAGGGACCATTGGAGAACAGCTAGTTCCAACAGCCCAATACCCCTCTCATTATATGCAGGAAAAAGCAGAGGCCCTGTGGGGGACAGGGACTTGCTCAGGATCTCACCGCCCTGTAACCAGGACCTGGACTCCAGTCTGATGACTCTTTTCTCTACTCCTGAATTTTTAGTTTTTCCCTTCTTAACCACATTGCCACTCAGAGGTAGAAAAGGAAAATTGTAAAGCCCTAAAGAGCTCTTGTGTAAACCTGCCTACTCACATGGCAACCAGAGCCCAGTGTAGGAAAATGGGCAGGACACATGGGTAGAACTGGGTGTCTTCAGTGGACATGCTGCTGGACCCCAGTCTGGTGGGCACTGGGAGCTAGGCTCTCTAGAGGCATCTGAAGTTATACTGCATCTCTTAGGCATTCTAGGATCCAGCCAGTAATATTGAGATAACAGCTTTCTTTCCTTGAATTCCAATGATCCCAAAGTAAGGAGTGACTTTAAAAGATTCAGTCTGCTCCTGTGTTTTCAGATTTGACATTTCAGTTTTTAAAGAAAAGTTTTTTAAAGAAAAGACTATAATCTCTTCTAGTGATCAAATCTAGAACCTAATGATCATATACACACATATATATTAAAAATATATATATATATATATAATTTTTTTTTCTTCTCTTGTATTTGAGTGGATAGACTATGTAAGGCTATCCACTCAAATTCCCTCATCTAATGGAAGGGGCAGCTGTTTCTGTGGGTTTTTTTAAGTGTTTTTTTAAGAGTCTTTTTAAGTGTTTCATTTATTGAACACATTAATTGGTTGCCCACTCTGAATGAAATATGAAAGTAGATAGACTTCAAGGGGCTCCCAACTGTGGGGGAGAGGGAGTGCAAGTAGCAGTGATAAAATGATATAAATACCGTGATAAAGGCATCCTAAACTGCTGTGGGCTTGCAGAGTAGACAAACAGATCCTGCCAGGAGATCAAGAAATATTTCACAGAGGAGGTGATGACTGAGTTGGGCCTTGAAGCCCATTTGGTTTTGCTAGTTAGGGAAGGGGAGGCACTCAGAAAAAGGTAACAGTGTGGGCAGCTGGGGAGGGAGAGGAGAAATGCAGTTTTCAGAGCACCAGCTGGTGTGTGATGGTTGTGCCTGTAATGGAGTGGTGGTCGTGGGGGAGTGTGGCAGGAGAGGAAGCCAGAAGGGATTTCAGATTTTGGTGGCCATGTCTGTCACGGGAGGGGTTTGGGCTTAGGCGCACTGCTGTTGCTATTATTTAGGCCTTCATTGTTTTTCCCCCAGACAGTAGTTTTCAGTTTCTTCTCAGTAATGGAAAAACATTTTTTCAAACAATATTTACACCCATCTCCAAATTATAAAACATAAGATGACTTTTTAAAGTAAAAGTGTATTTTCTGTAAGCACAGTGACCTGCACAGTGGAGGTGAGAGAAAACATTTTTGTCCTTGAATGGAGCTGACCCGGGAGAGCCTTCTCATCTGTGGGCGTTGAGCCATTCCTGCATCCCACTTGGTTTGGCAGTGATACTTGTGCTGGAGTGCCTGTGAGTGGGCACTCTGGGACTGGGAAAGGCTGTAAAACCCTGGAGCGCGTCCCCGGAAGAGTGACCTTACGAGGAAAGTTCTGGGAAACAAACCACAGGGAGACTTTACAGGAATTTTTGGTTGAGCCCACAGGCAAGGCACATGAGGAAAAGACATGTAATTATAGTTTGTAAGTCTATGAAAAGATACAATGAGTGACGTGAAATGGCTGTTCTAAGTTTCTTCTTCCTGTTGGACAGGAAGAAAGGGGGTTTTATGCATTCATTCAGCAGATTTTTATTGTGTGCCAGCTATGAGCTGGGCCCTATCCTAAATGCAGAGAATATGGTGGTTAGCAAAACTTTCAAGGTTCCTGCTCCTAAGGAACTCAGGGGGGAAGCAAGTAATCGCACAAATGAGCAATTGCAGGTTATGGTAAGTGCCATGGAGGGTGAGTCCTCATTTACACTGGAGGATCGTGAAAGACTTCTCTGCAGAGGTGAGAGGCAAGTTGAGGCTAGGCGAGTAAGATTCAGCTGGGTGAAGACTAGGGTGTGGGGGAGTGTCCCAGGCAAGGGGAGCAGCCTGGAGAAGATCTGACACTTTGGGAAACTAAAAGGTGGCCTGTGTAGCTGGCACCCAGAGTGGGAGGGTAGGAAATGTGCTGAGAGGAGAGGAGGCTGGAGAAAGATCATGCTGGGCCTTATAGGTCCTGGTAAGAATTCAGATTTTATCCTAAATGCAGTGGGAAGCCATTGAAGTGTGCTAAGCAGGAAATGACATGATTTGGTGTAAAAGGGTGATTCAGACAGCTCTGTGGAGAACGGAGGTGTGAGGGCAAGAGTGAAAGCTGGGGCGATTAGGAGGTTGGTGCAGTGGTTAAGGGGAAAGACTGGGGTGGCAATGGAGGTGCAGAAAAACGGACAGATGAAAGATAAATCTTGGAAGTAGAATTATTTGGAGTCGGTAAGTGGATTGGCTGCGGGGAGTGTGAGGTAGGGATGTGCAAGGATATCTCCTGGGTTTCTGGCTGAAGTCTGCATGTGGGCCTCCCAGCAGATACTAGACCACATACGGCTGTAAAAGCCCTATCCTTCCGGAAAGGTCAGGTAGGATTGATCAGAATCCAGCATTGCAGAGGCAGCAGAAGGATTCAGCTGTCCTTTCGCTCTGCCCAGTTCAAGGAGCTTATACACAATAGCAGCACCCAAGCAGCGATTTCAGTTCTGCCACTAATGCGGCCCTTACTATGTCCCTACCTGGTCCCCCCAGGGGAGGGCCCTAAGGAACCGCTGTAACCCCGGTGTGCCACTAGGGGGAGCATGGCCTGCATTCTGTGTCTGATCTGGAGGGCTTTTTGAAGTTTGCATTACTTTAGAGACTGACTTGTATCAGCTTTAGTACTCAACCTTGTCCCTTCATGCTGCTTAGAAGAATGCCTGACATATGGTAGGTGCTCAATAAACATTAGTTGGTATTAATATTATAACTGTGACTATTGTCTTATTGTAAAAATGAATGGGCATCACCTCTGCTTTCTCATCATGGAGACTGGGCAAGTGGAATGTGCATTTTGGGCATCAGGAGCAGAGCAGAGGGCTGCCTGTTGGGAATGGGATGGGGGAGAAGTTTAGTGATTTGATGGTATTGCCCTTGCCGTTTCATCTTGTCTTCCTTTGCAGATGGGGGTGGGGGACACTAGGGCCTATGAGGAATTCCTGAGTTGGTACTTGGGTCAGGGTATTGGGTTGGGTATTTCTAGTAGGTGGTTGAGTATACCCTCTTTGAAGCTCTGATTGCTTCACTGAAGCAAAAGTGCCCCCCACTTAGGGTTTGTGCCATTCTGTTATGTCCTGTTGTATTTTGTGAAACACCTCCTACCTTATCTCCTGACATATATTTACCTTTTAAACTTGACTGAATTAAAATCTTGTTTTAAGAAATTTGTGGTATATTGGACATTAGTGAAAAACACAGAAATTCTGCAAGGGATCTCAGCCTTAAAGATTCCATCAGAATCTCTCTAGCACGGTTTTAGGAAGCAACGTTGAAAAAAGTCTTCCTTGAGCCTCAGGGGCCTCTTCTTGGGGGCAAACCAACTGCCCCAGGTTTTGTTTGTTTGTGGTGAAGAGCAGCTGAGATGAAGTTCTTAGCTGAGTGCCTGGTTGAAGGAGAATGCTTTCACACACATCTTTTCATGCTCATCCCAGCCCTGTCACTTGCCCAGGGGACAGGTTTTATATGGAAACTGGGAGGCTAGGTGATCTGCCCGGAGGCACATGGCTGCTGTGGAGCCGGCGCTACCTGATCTTCTGACCCCTGCTCTGTCTGGTGCTCTTGGAACTACTCTGCTTAATATACGGAAGAGGGTTGAAAGGCTTGGCTACTGTTTCTAGATCTGTTATCTTCTGGTTCTGTGACCTGGGCCAAGTTATTTGGCCTCTCTTTTAGATTTTTGAAAAAAATCTGTTAATTAGTATGATAGTATGATAGTACCATCCTAACTGTGGGTCTCTTGGGTTGAACAGATGAGCCAAGATTTGTAAGAGTACTTTGGAGAAGTGTAAGGTAATTTATAGCTATAGGGCAGGACTTTTTTTCTCTCATCTGTGCACCTGTATGTTTCACATCTCATAGAGGCTATCGTAGAGCCTTCAGGCTAAAAGATGATAGTAGGGCCTATTTGATCACGACTCAGAAGGAGTCTCTATCTTCCCCAGGGAACCCAGCCTTGTATCTCATAACTGGCTGTCAAAAAAACTGTTAGTTTGTAAGATCAGATGGCAGTGTACCTTAGAGGAAAGTACCAGACTAGGGGGCAGCGGACTGGTCTCTACTGTTAGTTCTTCGACTGCCAAACTGGCTTTGTAACTGTGGACTAGATATTTGATCCCTCTGAGCCTTAGTTTTCCCATCTATAAAATGGTGATAATGATATCTATCCAGTATACTTCAAAAGGTTTTGGGGATCGAACAAAATAGTGCATGTAAAAGAATATTACAAAGCAGAGGACTTCCCTGGTGGTCCAGTGGATAAGACTCCGTACTCCCAATTTAGGGGGCCCGGGTTTGATCCCTGGTCAGGGAACTAGATCCCACATGCCACAACTAAGATCCGGCACAGCCAAATAAATAAATATTTTAAAAAATATATTACAAAGCAGAAATATGCATCGGGGGATTACGCTTAGAGGGCCTGCTGTGTCCCAGGCACTGTGCTAGCTCTTTAACAGCACTGGTATTATTTCTGGCCATGACGACAGCTCACAGAAAGCCTGGGCTTTAGGCTGTATTTGTATCACATTTGTTGCTTGGGCTGTGACTCTGACTTGCCCAGGACACTTACTGGACCTGACCTGGTATCTTTCCTCTCCATTGCAGGAAGATGAGAGACTGCTTTGGCACCAGCACTAGTACCATGAGTCCCTGCACTGGTTAAAGCCATCACCACGGCCTGGGCAGGCAGCAAGGTAAGAAGAGAGGCCAGTCCAGGCGAGCTCCAGGGAGGTGAATGCATTTCCGCCTCAGCTGCTGCCGGGGAAAATCCCAAGCGCACAAACAAGTCGAGGCAGTGCATCTGGGTCCTCCTACCCTCCCCTCACTCCAGGACCCAGAGGAAGGGCTTGCTTCCCCTCCAAGTGTTCCAGCTAGCTCCCTCCCCCCCTGACCAGGACTCTTCCAAGTTATAAAAAAAATGAGACACTGGTGGGGAGCAGAACAAGTCCACTCACTGTCTTCTCCCTTCTCCCCTCTGAGCTGTTGAAGCGAGTTCCCAGGAGCAGCCCAGAGCCCTTGTCTGACTGGGAGGGAGGTAGGAGGAGTGGAATGCGTGCAGAGACCGAGCTGATCAAAAGACAGTGCTGTTTCGTGAAAGCCTCCCAGAACTGAGGGAGAGAGAGGGAGACAGCGAGGGAGGGGTCGGGGGAGAGAAAGGGAGGGAGAGAGAGAAAGGGAGGGAGGGAGGGAGAGATCGGGAGCGAGCGCTGGCGAGAACAGGGTCTCCATGACGACTGGCTTGGCCGGCCAGCAGTGCTCCGCTCATTTGGCTGGAAGGAGCGCCACGAAAGGTCAGAGGAAGGAGCCGTGGGAAGCTCGCAGCAGGTATCCGAGCCGGAGCGAGTGGATTTGGGGGCCCTGGGCTCCCTAACAGACTGTGGTGTGAGCCAAACTGCTGAGAATGGAGTGGGCAGGAAAGCACCGGGACTTTCAGGTAAGGTCAGCTCCAGGCTTGGATTGTTTTTCCTCCTTTCCTGGCCAGTCTTGGGCTGTTTTCTGGGAGGCAGGCAAGTGTCTGTACTCTGTGCTCGGGGTTTGGGGCTCAGGAATGATGTCATGCTCCAACAGTTGGATTCTATTAGCTTAAGGAGGAGGGAAACAGCCAATTTTCTTGACTTTGCAGATCTAGCTGATCTCACTCTTACTGAACCTGAGGTGTTTAGACTTCACTATAGGAATCATCATCTTACTTTTATTTAGCACAAAGTCTCAGGATATTTTACAGGAAGGGTCTTTTATGTAGAAAAATGAGTTATCATCACTCCAGCATTGTGTTTGTAGTTCTTACGTGGAAACTCCAGTGTCTTTTGAGTGGCGTGGTTTGTTCTAGTGAACACTGTCTGTTTTGTCTCTTGGTGCTGCTATGTCTGACCTAATGAAAAAAAAAAAAAAGCTAATTAACTCAGCTGGGAGCCTGTGGTGAGCTCCAAGTCTCTCCGGAGTAGTTATTAGGACAGAGGGACTGTCCTAGGGATATCTGAACCGGGGTTGGTCTCTCTCTCTGGCCCCCAGGTAGCTTGGTAAGAAGCAAGCTGTCCTCCTTCATTAATAAAGTCCATCACAGGCTTTCCTTAGAAAATACATGGGGTGGAGGCAGGTGGTGTCTGGGGGCTGGGGGACCTGCAAAAAGGTTTTTCTTATCCAGATATCTCAGAGTGAGCTGCTCCTAAGAGCTAGGTTACCTGAGGAGACATGAAGTGCTGTGGTTGTGCTGAATGGATTCCTTGGTTAATATTTTAACCAACTCTCAGGGCATGCAGTGTCCATGCCGCACGCCCCTTCTACACTGTCCTATGTTTCGGTAAAACTTGTTCTGACCTAGAGGACTAGTGTGTGGTGAACTCATTGTGGCCTAGGAGAGGAGACTGTTCCAGAAAGGCACTTTCATAGGTGATGAGGTAGCTAAGGTTGTCAGTGATCTTATCAGGAGGGTTAACGCAGTGGACACTCCCTGCAGTGGAGACCCATCGGGATGTGCTTCCGCTTCAGCCATGTTATATCTTAAACTTACTGCTGGGCCTCAGGAAACTTGGTGGGTGCCTTTGGTTTCTCTGTGGGATGAGGGAACAGCTGCCATCCTGGTTCTTTGGTTTTTCTTCTTGAACTTTCTGAACAGAATGTCTTTTGTACTCTGGCAAACAATGAGGGGGGCCTTCTGATTAACTTCGGGTCAGCTTGCCAATGAAAGCACTGGCCATGTCCCCAAGCGGGCTCCCTGAATGTGGACATGTGTACATCATTGTTGTGGCCTGAGGCTCCATAAGGGTGAACTCCATGGCCCTGGACCTCAGACGGGCCGCTTCTAAAGTGATGCCTCCTTTCACTGCACTCCAGGGCTCCTCTGCTTGGTTGACACCTCGGTTAACTGGGGGGATGTGGCATGGCGCTGTTGGCTGGGACTCAGTTTGGGGGATGTGAAGAGGAGGCCTCTCTGAGTCAGTGGCCCCTTCGGTGGACAATGCAAATCCAGGATCTCAGTTCTCCTCTACTCGTGTGGATGTGTTTGGGCAGCTCCTCCAATTTTATGGTCCCCGCACATGTGAAGAGGGCTAGCAGATGATCTTTCTTTTGGTGTAGCAGAATGAATAATGGATTTGGGTTTAGGAGATGTGAACCGTGGCCAGGTTCTGCTACTTACCATAAAGGTAGCCATGGGCAAGACCCTCAACCTCTACGACCTTCAGATTTATTGGCTGTGAAATGGGGATAATGATAATAGCTCCTTCATAGGACTGTTGCGGAGAGCAAATGAAATAATTTCCATGAACGTAGTTTTAAACAAGTCAAGTCCTATATGATGTAAGATGTTATGAATTGACACTTGATGGATGGTCCCTCTTTCTTCTGGAAAGTCACTTTGTTCTGGTTTTCCCATTTATAAAGTCCCTTCTTCTCTTTTGCATTTATAAATAAAAATGAGAAAATCCTTTTAAAACTTCAAGATGTGAAAAGAAACAAATAGTGCTTTCTTTGGGTTGGGAAGTTTAGTGATGTTCACTGTAGACTTTGAGCCATAAATGATCCTTCAGAGATGAAGCTTTCCTTGGGTCACCTGACTCACATGTTTTAGTATGGAGGAGAGGGATTCCAAGAGACCCTTTGCTTTTCCCACAGCTGCCTGGCGCTTACGGAGTCATAGATTTTAGAAGCTGGAAGAGAGGCTACTGGTTGCCAGGGCTGGTTCCCTCATCCTGTTAGGTTCTGCTGGGGAAACTGTTGCGAGTGAGCAGGGAGGCCTTTCTCCTCCGTTTTGGGTTTGAAAGGCAGGGTTCTAACTGGCAGGAAGTGTTATTGCTCTGAAAGGTCCTTGGGGGCTAGGCAGCTCTTTTAGGAACCTGTGGCTACAGCTTAGAGGGAAATAAGAAAGAAACAAGGAATTGGGAATTCCAAGGGCAGAGATACTCGATATGCCGTGGGACTGTGCAAGGAACAGAATAGCAGGGGAGTGGAGCCTCTGGGCAAGGGCGTCCCAGCTGTGTCCTCAGAGACTCCGGGAGGCTCCTGGCATACTAGGTGGGAACACGGGAAAGGGCCGGCACCCCACCTGCAGCCGCAGCTTTTGTTGTAGGGCAAGGGCACACCTGCCAGCCAGGCCCTGGAGTAGTGCCTTGGAAGAAGCCCCTGAACAGACAGATTTTTTTTTTTTTTTTTTTTTAAATAACGGAGCCTTTTTTCCAGGTGAATCTTGTCACAGCAGCCTCTCCAGCCTGAGGGGAAGCTGTCCACAGCTTAGCTTGGGGCTGCAGCTGTTCCCCACTCCTTGTCAGTCCAGTTTCCCAGAGCTGAGTCACAAATCGGATCCCTCCCTGTTCCTTAAGGATGAAAAAGTAACATTCCTGTTCTTACTCCCTCTCTCCCCCTTCCTTTACGCCTCTTCCTGCACTCTCTCCCCCTGGGCTCCTTCTCTCTGTAAAATTAGAATAATCAGTTACCCAGGGAAGTTGCAATTCTGAAATACTTTGGAGGACAGGCCAAGGCCGTCCTCAGTTCTGCTGGCTCTGCCCCTGTCCCTGGAATGCAGGGCTTGGGTGTACCATTTGGACGGGCACCACAACTCCAGATATCACAGCCACACTGCTGGCCCGGGACTAAGAGAGGCTGCGTCCCGTCCCCACCTCACCTGATTCTAATGACTACTTCCGGGAGGTAGGAACCTGAGACAGGTAGAGGGTCTGAGTCCTGGGCTGTCCAAAGCACCTCCCTGCAGGCTGGCAGGACTGAGAAGCTGAGAGCATGTCATCCTGTTGCTTCTCTTAGCTGTTACCTGTCACTGCCCTGGAGACTCCTGATTTCTCATGTTGGGCCCAAGAGAGTTTGCTGAGGCAGCCAAGCAAAGGGAACGTGTGTGGAGCCTGGGGGAGGCCGGGCAGCAGCCCTGCACGGCTTTGGCTTGTCTTCCTTCTGTCCCTCCACCTTAGCTTGGGAGAGCAGGCTGTAGGGAGGGGGCCTCGCAGGAACCATGCGAAAGTGGAAAAGGGGCCAGGAGGGCATGAAAGAAAAAAAAAAGACCACCTGGCATGGTCTGCAGAGAGTTCTCTTTCTGTGGGAAAACTTGCACTAGTGAGTGGCTTCTTCTGGGGGTGGGGAGGGAGACTGTGCATCTCTTTTATGCTGGGGAGAAGCTGCTCTGTGCACCTGTCCCAATAGGTGGGTGGGGTGAAATGCGGGTGTATCCATCTGAAGGGAACATGCCACGTGATATATTGTCTGATAGATAAAATCCAGGGTCTCTGTTTCTAGCCATGGGCCCTAGAAAACTGGCCTGCACGTGTGTATGTGTGTATGTGTGTTTTGAGGGGAGAGGAAGATGCTGCATGAGTCTAGACTACCTTATTGAAGGATTTCTCCAAAGATCCCTTCTCATTTTTTTTGGCTCAGGTAGACTGCTATCGAGGGGCTGTTGAAATGATCACAATACTCTTCTCTGAAAACTGCCTGAATCTTAGATTGCACTGTCTCTATAAAGGGTGAATTATGTGCCATCAGGATATGAAGCCTTCTTAACCAAAGCTGACCTGTTCCTAAGAGTTTGTCATGAAACCACCTGTTTCTCAAAGATCCAGACTCTTTTTCTGTGTGACTTGTCACTGAAGGGATTTGTATATGAGCTGGAGATTGGCTAATAGGAAGCGTCACAGTGGATGAAGGACTATTTGAACCTGGGAAAAAGGAGATAAACATAGGGTTATGGGAG